CACATTCGGTAGAATTTATAGAATATTGTAATATATATATATATATATATATATATATATATATATATATATAATATATCGAAAAAATGAGTGAGAAGTATCAGTGGAAATAATTGATCTGTCATCAGATACGTCGGCCAGTAGGAGTACATAAAGTACACCATCTCCAGAGCACAAGAGACGAAACGCGTCAACCATAAAACGAGTTCGTCGTTCACAAAAATGCACCTTTGGTCGTGGTTGGGAGATGGTGTACTTCATGCCCATATCTCCACTATATCCACCCATATGAATATATATATATATATATATATATATATATTATTATATTGATATTATAAATTAATATAATATATTATACGTCCTACCTCGGGAAACTGTGTCTCTGGGCATTAAACGAAGATTGATTGATTGATATATTATATATATATATATATATAATATACAAAACAGATTAATTGCAATTGCAATAGATACCACGTACTAGCTAATCGTTGTTTGCACTAGAAAATTACATTACACTGTCGTGCTGTGTTGTTGTAAACCGCACCATAGTCAAGTATATATATATATATATTCTCTCTCTCTCTCTCTATATATATATATATATATGTGAATGTTCATGTATATATTATTCCCTCTACCCTAGGTTCACACCGATTTCTGATAGACAAACACGAACAACTGTCCCAAACAGAGATTTGTTTAAACGTTTATTCGAATGTCAGCGGCTTAGTTGTTGAAACACTGGGGCTGTTTTAAACAGTGTGTGTGTGTGTTGTGTGTTTTTTCAACTGTTAGCATTCGCAGATCATGACGAAAGAAATACTCGCACAGTCGTCAGTTACATCACAACAATACATTCTCAAGGTGGCCCAACAAGTTTTTCTTCGGGTTCCCCATGTACGTTTCTAGCTGAATAAACAGAGCACCTTATTGTATTGTACTGAATTCAGAACGCAACTGCATCACCATCCAAGCACCAGCTGCACTCCATAATCCAACTAGATATAATATCCTCAGTCCTTTATATATATATATATATTTATATATTATATTATTATATATAAATTTATATCTCTCAGTTTGGTAAAAAAATGACCTACAATTATAGAGAGTTGAGACAAAGAATAAAGGATAATTCCACGATCCAATTGTGGAGCAGTCGTTATTGCTGAATGCACGGCAATGTCCAACAACTACAACTGTTGTGGTGTTTTGATCACAATGAGACCCAAAGCTAAAACGTATCCATATGAGAAAATGAAATAAGAATATTACTGAAGATGATAATGGGTGATGATGAATTTGTGTTTAGTGAATGATTGGTGAATGATTAGTGAATGCCAAGTGAATGATTAGTGAATGAGCAAAATAGAACTACGACGCATAGTATAAACAGCTCATAATACCATTAACAATATTATTAATAAATATAATCAAACGTATCAATGAATGAACGAATGAATGAATGAACGATTGGATGGATGGATGATGTAGAAATGTAATGTAATGAATGAGTGGGTGATTTTACAAATAAACCAATAGAATAAATGAAAAAATGAATGAATAAATAAATGAATGAATGAATGCATGAATGAATGAATGAACGGATGAATGAATAAAGGAATATTACCGCCACTGAAATCCAAAGGTCAAACAGCATAAATTTTACGTGCATACAAAAATCATAACTTGCGAACGTGAATAAGAGTGAACACAACTTACAGAAAGAAACACACACACACGCACGCAAGCATACACACACGCGCACACACACACACAGGCGCGCACACACACACACAAACAAAAAAATGATACTTTATAAATAAGACTGATATAACAGAATGGTCCGAGTTCAAATTTTTTCCGGAAGAAAATTGAAAAAAAAAAAGAAAATCGAGAAATTTTTTTTAAGAAAACACGATAGAAACACGCAACGTGGAATGAATCGGTTAAGATATGATGACGATAGTGGTTGTGGTGGTGGCTGTGGTGGCGACGACGATGATGATGATGAAGGTGACA